CCCACCTGACGTCAAGTGTTTTGGGACTTGTGACCAAGGCTTGGTGCCAGTCCCACTGCTCTGGAACCAGAGCATTGTGCAGCAGCCAGTCTCTTTCCCTGATCTGGTGCCACTCTACAACAAATTCTCCCGAGACTTCATCGCTGACTGTGCCCGACGAGGCCTCCCCTTCCTGCTCTACTATGCTTCCCACGTAGGAGAGGGAGAGGGCTGCTCTGGGCCCAAGGGTGGGGAAGGGAGCCTTTGTCCTGTGGGGAGAGCAGAGAAGCATCTCAGCTCCTGCAGCCCCAGGGCTGTGCTGAGCAGTCGATACCTGCTTTTGGATGATCTGGGGTTGCTGTTCCCATGCTCAGGTCTTGCATGGCTTTGATAATGTTCTTGGGCTGCTTCTTTCTGGAGTTCTGCCTGCTTCTTTGGGCCAGGAGCCCACCTGGGAAAACTTCCTGCTCTGGGGCTCCATGTCCTCTCCTGGGGCTCAGCTCCTTTGTGCCATTTCTGAGAGATGCTTCCAAAGCTTGGGGAGAAGCCTCCTCTCATCTCATGGCTATTGTCACATTTCTCTGTGTCCAGGCTGGGGTGCTTACTGTCCCCGGGTGAACTGGGAACCAGATGCAGCTCTAGGAGTTTGCACAGCCGTCTTCTCTACCCTTTCTCCAGCATACACACTACCCTCAATTTGCAAGCCAGGAGTATGCAGGGCAGTCACGGCGTGGGCCGTTTGGTGATGCGCTCTTGGAGTTTGACGGCTCAGTGGGACAGCTGCTGCAGACACTGCAGGAAAATGGTCTTGCAAACACGACCTTGGTGTTTTTCACCTCTGACAATGGGTGAGTAGGCTCAGCAGCAGGGATTTTGTCACTAATAAGATTCGGCTGCCATGGTATGGGGGAACTAGAATGAGGCATTGGTTGTCTGGAACAAAAGGGATGTGGTGTGGCATTGCCAGGTGAGACCCCGGTGACCTGAAGTAAGGCAAGAGGTGGGTGCTGCTCTGGAGAGGACCCAGTGCAGTCCTTGTTCCTGTGATTCAGCAATGCCCTTCCTTGTGGGCAGAAACTTCACAGGGTTCAGTCCAGGAGCGTGCAGCAGCCCAAATATACCCCGGTTCCCTTTGTGTGAGTGGCACTGGTCTGGTGCCCTGCTTAAGAGTCTCACACACCTTGGCTTCTTTACCTGCCCCGTGTCTCCTGCCTTATGAGGCTGAAAAGGATGGCGGTGTCACTAGCTGGCACCATGTCTCACTTGTCATGGCCCCATTGGCAGCATCAGGGAAGGGGTAGTGTGAGCCTGTGAAACTGAGGGTAGGAGGTTCTCTCTTGCAGCCCATCCACCTTGCGGATGGCACGTGGAGGCAGTTCTGGCCTTCTGAAGTGTGGGAAGGGCACAACATACGAAGGTGGCATGCGGGAACCAGCAGTGGCTTATTGGCCAGGCCATATCACTCCAGGTAAGACTTGGCACTGCTTGTGCCTTTTGCATGCTGATGCCAGCCAAGGCAGGGTGTCATGGCAGCTTGGCTGCCCAGGAACAAGCAGAGGACTGGAGAGAGGTGAGGACGGCGGGATTGAAGTGGGATCAGGTGCTTGAACCTTTTCTTGTGCCTTGCTGTGGTGGGTGACAGGAGTGACACATGAACTGGCAAGCACCCTGGACATCCTGCCAACACTGGCTACCCTGGCTGGAGCAGCTCTTCCCAAAGTTGCCCTGGATGGCTATGACCTGAGTCCAGTGCTGTTTGGGTCAGGGAAGGTGAGTCCTGCGGGCTGGTTCAGCTGGCATTGTGCATGAAAGCTGGGTGTGGGGCTGAAGCTGTGTGCCTGATGAGTACAACCAGCTGGGGGTCAGGGGAGATCCATGAGCTGGGACCTTTTGTCTGGCCTGGGTCATGCCATGGAATTCCTCGGCTTCCCCAGGCTGCTCTGCTCTGACAACTGCAACATATTGCTGGGCCAAACCCCCATGGGCGCAGTGGATGGACAGCCCCAGTAGCTTGGAGTAGGGAACAAACAGGATGCTGCTGCTCGTCAGCATTCCCCCCTCTCTGGCCATGTTCTTGCTGTAGTATCAGGGCTCCTGTGTGACTCCCTGGAGTCTCTGCCTGGTCATGTTCCAGACTTTTCTTCAGCCTCATGGCTGCACAGGTGAGCTTAGTTCTGCTACTTCCCGCAGAGTCCTCGGCAGACAATGTTCTTCTACCCGCCATCCCCTGATCCGCTGCACGGCCCCTTTGCTGTCAGGCTTGGGAAGTACAAGGCCCATTACTTCACACAAGGTTAGTGCTGCCTCCTCTTATCTACACAGTCGACTTTGTGAAGTCCCATATGGTTTTGCTGTCCAAACCTCAAAGAGAAGAAACTGGGCTATGCCTGGGGGTCTCTTTTGCAGGTTCCTTTCACAGCGATACGACCCCAGACCAGGCCTGCCACGGGCTGACCCCGCTGACCCCTCACTTGCCCCCGCTGCTCTTTGACTTGGAGTCAGACCCAGCTGAGAACTATGATCTGCTGCAGAGTGGCGCAGGGCCGGAGGTTCTGCAAGTCCTGAAGGAGATCAAACTGCGGAAAGTGCTTTTGGAGCAGCAAATGGGGTTTGGAGAAAGCCAGATCAGGAAGGGCAGGGATCCCGCCCTGCAGCCCTGCTGCGTACCAAACTGCACTCCTAAGCCTTCCTGCTGCTACTGCTCCTAGCTTCTTGCTGCTCCATCCCCTTCAGTTGTTCCACACTGGAACGCTATCCAGGACCCACCAAACACCCCCTCTGTCCCCAACTAACCAAGCTCAGCCTTAGAGCTACCCTGCAGCTTTGGCTCAGTGACACCTCTGTCTAATAGAGTGCTGGGGTAGCCAACTGTGGGTTGGGGAGATTACCAACCCTGCTAGGAGCGCAGGTCAGTGGATCCTATGCTCTGCGTTGGATGTCCAAGCTAAGGCCTCTTGACAGAAACCCTGACTTGTTCAGGGTGGGATCATGGTACATCGTCATCTCCAGAGCCAGAACAACTCCTTTCAAACCACAATCAAGGTGAAGCAAAGGGCATGCCCCAGTGTTCAGAGCTCCCAGCTCAGCTGGAGACATGCTCTGCACCTCTGAGTAAGAACAGAGCTGGAAGCTGCAGCACCATCACTCGCCAGGGGCCAAGAACACAGCAAGAGGAGGATGGCATGGATGGTCCTGGCAGCTTCAGAGGCAGGACCTTGTGCAGCTAGTGCAGAATGGACATGCCTAGGTGGAAAGCAGCTTGGGGTATGTGTGCTTAAGTACCTCCAAGTCCTTCATGACTCCAGGAGGTGGAGATGTGGCCAGTGGTTGTCAGGATTGGTCCTCTTGTAAGGTCTGTGGATCTTGGGGCTGATCAATCAGGTGGGCGGCAACCACATGCCATCCACATGACTGAAAGGGTCTGTCTCCTCTTGCTTGTGAGCTAGTCCAGCTCCAAGTTTCCCAGTGAATTGCACATGCACACAGCGCTCCCACCAGTCGCTGGCCCTAGACACTGGGTGTTTCCAACTGGGGGGTCCCCCGACCTGTGTTCCCTCCTGCCATTGCTAGCAGCCAGGCCTCTGGGCCCACCCCACCCCGGGGACAGAGCGGAGCCGCACAGAGAAAGGTTTGGAATCACTCTCAACAAGAAGGTAGGACGGGTTGTGGTGGTTACGTGCAAGGCTCAGCCAAACAAGCAATCCAACTAGCAGCTTAGGGGTGACTGGCTCCTTGATCCCCCTTTCTCTCCATTTTCCATGCTTTTATATCCCACTCACCTGCCTTGAGTGCTCCCTTTCTCCACCCTTGTGTCCTCCCAAATGAGGGACCTACCTGTGATTGTTTTTTCCCCCTTGCTCCCAGGTTAGCTAGGCTTGTGAACAGATTTGGTGTCCCAGGTGACATTAGTTAGATCACCTTGGACTTCTGTGGCATTACTGATGTGGTTTCCTGGCTACTGCTGTCCCTGCCAGACTCCTCTCCCCAAAATGACCCCAACCATTCCTTCATGTATCTGTGAAGTGTGGCCACCTCTCACATAATTCTCCTTTAACCACGTCCAAAATCTGGTGCTGGAATAGCAGAGTATCCACAGAAGACAAGTCTTCTCTAAGGCCTTCTTCTGCCTGCTCTAAGCAGATATGGGGCACCACCTTCAGGTCAATTTTCAAAAAACAAATCAGCCTTGAGTTCAGTTTGAGGCCCAGTCCTGCTGCCTGTAGGGCCTTGATAGCAGCTATTCCATTTTCAGACAGAGCCTGGCCTGCCATCCTAAGGACCAGGTTGTGCACTCAGTTGTGTGCCTTACATATATCCACACAAGCCAGGACGGCAGCAGGAAGCTCCTGCACTTTTCACAAGCGTTGAGGCTGCCGTTCTTCAAGCTACCACCTCCAGGAACCTAGCCCCACTCAGCAAAGGCAGCGCACGTGGCTGGCTCCTGCTTTTCTCCCATGACTGCCCTGTGCTCCATCAGGTGAGCAAGGCTCCACCATCTGCTGTGGAAGGGAGCCTGATGAGATTAGGCTGATACAGGATTTACCAAAGTCACGGAGAATGGCATGTGGAGAGTGGAGCTGAATGGAGAGTGAGGATGAAAGCAGGAGCATCCTTCTTTTCTAGAGCTTGAAATTGCAAGACCTTGGCCACGCATACCGGGTGCCACAACTGCCCTTGTCTACCTTGTCCCAGAGCAGCAACAGAACTCATAGACAGCAAGGACATGAAGCCTGTCAGTGGATGTTGCTATGGCTGACGTAGCCAGTGTGGACTGTCCTGCATCTGCGTTTCACTGTGCTGTGTGCACGAAGGTTGACGTTGCTTGGGTCTGCTTGGCTTATTTGCCTTGCACATCACTGCTTGCCTGCAGCGGCTGTAACCAGATTGGCTCTACAACACCCAAACTTGTGCATACTGCCTGCGGTAGTTGTGTTCTCTGGTGTCTGTTTTTGGGAAGGACCTGGTGGCAAAAGGCTGCAGAGAGCGGGGTGGCAGTGAATGAACTTCCCAAAGAGGCTGTGATGCCACACTTGTTTTTTTCCTGCTAGCCATGAGCAGGCAGTGCTTGGAGCCAGGCGCTGCTGCCTGCCACGGGGCCTACACACCCTCATCCCGCAGGCAGAGCAGTGGGTGGGGGTCTGCCGGGGGCGTCCGATCCCGGCTTCTGCCTCCCCTCCTGCTTCGAACCTGCCCCGTCCCCCCCGTCCCCGTCCCCGTCCCCCCCCAAGGGGCCACCGTGCCTAGCACCCGGAACCAGTGACTCTGTGACATCAGCCCTGTTGCTGAGGGCACCGCGGGCAACGTGAGTGCTGCGGGCACTGTGTCGGCTGCTGCGCCACTGGCAACGAGCCCTCGGTTCCTACAGCCCGCACGTGCTGCTGGTAGCGATGCGCTTGCTCCCCCTCCTCGTCCTGCTGGCCGTGTGCTGGCCTGCGCGTGGCACATGGGACAACTGTGGGTAAGTGGCCCGAGGCTCTGGGAGGGAGCTGGGGCAACCCTTGTGGGCTTCACTGGAGGGTGCCTGCTTGTCCCCCGTGGCCACACCACAGCTTCCCGAACCCCACGTGGAAGCCTCGGTTCCTTGCAGCACTCAGGCTGCTGGCCCAGCTCGTCTACGGGGCTAAGGCAGGAACGGGCCAACGTCCGCACGCCGCACGGGCTTCCCTGGCCCTGCTGTCCGTGCAACACCTGTGGGGAGGGAGGATGGCTGAGCTTCAGCCTGAACAGCAGCGAGTCATCGAACAGGACGGTAACGAGTTTCTGGTTACAGAGGGACCTGCGGGCTCCGGCCCATGGCTTCTTACTACGGCATGTCGCGTGTCGTGGGTGGCACAAGCTCCCACCCAGGGGCCTGGCCCTGGATCGTCAGCATCCAGAATCCCTGGCTAGCAGGTGTGGGGCATATATGCGGAGGGTCCCTCATCAGCCCACAGTGGGTTCTCACAGCAGCCCACTGCTTCGTCGAGGCCAGGTAAGGAGGACCAGGGAACGGGGATATCCCCACAGCACTCACAGGTGCCCTGTCCGCAGCACCACCTGCTACTCCCATCCCGTTTCCAGCACTGCAGAGCCCGGCTGAGAGACTGTTCAGGAGGAGGCTGCGCTGCTGCCACTGCTTCCTCGCAGCCTCCGGCTCGACATGCCTCGAGCTGAAGGCATGCTAGGGCAGTCGCACCTTCTGTAGCGCTGCTTTTCTCTCTCCCCTGTGAAGCAGAACGCAGGGAACTGCTGGGCTGCTGCAGCACATGTCTCTGCTCCCTTTAAGCCCTCTCTCCATCTGCCTTCCAGGGACATCAGGACGTGGCGTGTGGTGGTCGGGACCACCTACTTGACTCAGCTGGGCCCTGAGTCCCAAGTGCGCGGTATTAGGCGGCTGGTGGCTCACCAACGCTATAGTAGTATCTCGCAGAGGAACGACATTGCGTTGCTGGAATTGGACCAGCCTGTACAGTGTGGCTACTATGTACAGCTTGCCTGTGTGCCCAACGCCTGGCTGAAAGTGTCAGAGCTGACAGACTGCTACGTCAGTGGCTGGGGTTCCACACATGCAAAATGTAAGTTCCTGCAGAATCCTTGTGTCCCAAGTGCAAGCTCGGCACACCGGGGAGGCGGGCTGGGCTTCCTCACAGCAGAGGCAAAAGCCAGAGTCGGCATGTAGGGACGTATGCCTGTAGAGAGATGGGCCTGGCCCACTACCCAAAGCCAGACAGAAGGGAAACACCGGTACAGTGCCTCTCACGACACAAAGCCGAGCCCTAGGGAAGGGGTTCACCCAGGCAGGGAAGGAGAACTGGCAACAACCTCCTGAGTGTTACCTCCTTTCTGTGCTCACAGCTGGAGGATCAACTGCTGTCCTGCAGGAAGCCAGGGTCCCCCTCATCGATGTCAACCTCTGTAACAGCAGCCAGTGGTACAGAGGAGCCGTCCACACCCACAACCTGTGTGCTGGCTACCCGCAGGGCGGCATTGACACCTGCCAGGTAGGCTCACCTCCCCTTCCCTCTCTGCAGGTTCTCGCCCAGTGCCCCATCTGTCTCAGAGGCCGGGGACTCTGCCCAGAAAGCCCATCCGGTGCTGCTGGCAGCCCGTAGGCCCAGATCCCAATCCTGGAACATCCCCCTTCCACACATCCAGCATCACAGTGCAGAGAGGAGAGAGAGCACACCCTGCCTTACAGGCCTGTGGCTTCTTCCTAGAAAAGTTTCTGTAGGCTCCAGCAGCTGCAGAGCCTTTCTGTGCAGTGAATACAGCGCTGGCAGGTGCTGTGGGAGAGAAGCAGCCAGCCCTAGTGCTGACAGTGGCCACCTAACACCCCCTTCATCCTCTCTCCTCCGCTGCAGGGTGACAGCGGTGGTCCTCTCGTCTGCAAAGATAAAAATGCTGACTACTTCTGGCTTGTTGGAGTGACCAGCTGGGGGAAAGGCTGTGCGAGAGCGAAACGGCCTGGAATCTACACCTCCACTCAGCACTTCTACGACTGGATCCTGACACAGATGGGATTTCGCTCAGCAGCAAGGGCTTCTCCAACATCAGGGGCATGGAGTCATTTTCTCACTGCCTCAACCCCTTATCAGAGGCCAACACCAACACAATCGGGCAAGTTTAGCTCCTGCCCCTTTCCCCTTGGGAAGCTGGTGGAATTCTTTTCTCGGGCGCAGGAGCTCCTGCTGTTCCTAAAGGAAAAAAAGGCTTGAGCAACAGGATGAAGAGGATCCAGTGCAGGCTTGCAGCGTACCACGACCATTTCTTTCTGGGGCACTGCCTGCTGAGCCAAAGGCAGCCTCAGTGTCAAAGGCCTGCTCCGTCCTGCCCACGCTCCTCCGAGCACACACCAGTGCTGAAGTTGACACAGTTCTTGAAATAAACTCACCAGTTTTCACAGCTAACCATACTTCAGGCCAATTCAGTCTCCAGTGCAAGGCAGGGACTTCCATGCCTGGCACCTGCACAATGCGGCTGCGGGCAGACAAGTGGGGCACAAAGGGAAAGAGCCACAAAAGGGGCCAAAACTCTGCCTGGTCAGAGAGGATGATGCTTAGAGTCACCATGGGATGGAGGAGACTGGCATATCATGGCTAGAAAGAAAAGAGGAAAAATTGACGTGACATGCAGAAACTTTCGGGTATGCATTAAGGCACACAAGCTGATGATCTGGGCCTGGCATAAACCATAGCTAACTGAACATATCACGGGATAATTCTGAGCATAACAAGAGAAATTACCGACATAAGATTCGGCTGCCATGGTATGGGGGAACTGGAATGAGGCATTGGTTGTCTGGAACAAAAGGGATGTGGTGTGGCATTGCCAGGTGAGACCCCGGTGACCTGAAGTAAGGCAAGAGGTGGGTGCTGCTCTGGAGAGGACCCAGTGCAGTCCTTGTTCCTGTGATTCAGCAATGCCCTTCCTCGTGGGCAGAAACTTCACAGGGTTCAGTCCAGGAGCGTGCAGCAGCCCAAATATACCCCGGTTCCCTTTGTGTGAGTGGCATTGGTCTGGTGCCCTGCTTAAGAGTCTCACACACCTTGGCTTCTTTACCTGCCCCGTGTCTCCTGCCTTATGAGGCTGAAAAGGATGGCGGTGTCACTAGCTGGCACCATGTCTCACTTGTCATGGCCCCATTGGCAGCATCAGGGAAGGGGTAGTGTGAGCCTGTGAAACCGAGGGTAGGTGGTTCTCTCTTGCAGCCCATCCACCTTGCGGATGGCACGTGGAGGCAGTTCTGGCCTTCTGAAGTGTGGGAAGGGCACAACATACGAAGGTGGCATGCGGGAACCAGCAGTGGCTTATTGGCCAGGCCATATCACTCCAGGTAAGACTTGGCACTGCTTGTGCCTTTTGCATGCTGATGCCAGCCAAGGCAGGGTGTCATGGCAGCTTGGCTGCCCAGGAACAAGCAGAGGACTGGAGAGAGGTGAGGACGGCGGGATTGAAGTGGGATCAGGTGCTTGAACCTTTTCTTGTGCCTTGCTGTGGTGGGTGACAGGAGTGACACATGAACTGGCAAGCACCCTGGACATCCTGCCAACACTGGCTACCCTGGCTGGAGCAGCTCTTCCCAAAGTTGCCCTGGATGGCTATGACCTGAGTCCAGTGCTGTTTGGGTCAGGGAAGGTGAGTCCTGCGGGCTGGTTCAGCTGGCATTGTGCATGAAAGCTGGGTGTGGGGCTGAAGCTGTGTGCCTGATGAGTACAACCAGCTGGGGGTCAGGGGAGATCCATGAGCTGGGACCTTTTGTCTGGCCTGGGTCATGCCATGGAATTCCTCGGCTTCCCCAGGCTGCTCTGCTCTGACAAGCTGCAACATATTGCTGGGCCAAACCCCCATGGGCGCAGTGGATGGACAGCCCCAGTAGCTTGGAGTAGGGAACAAACAGGATGCTGCTGCTCGTCAGCTTCCCCCCTCTCTGGCCATGTTCTTGCTGTAGTATCAGGGCTCCTGTGTGACTCCCTGGAGTCTCTGCCTGGTCATGTTCCAGACTTTTCTTCAGCCTCATGGCTGCACAGGTGAGCTTAGTTCTGCTACTTCCCGCAGAGTCCTCGGCAGACAATGTTCTTCTACCCGCCATCCCCTGATCCGCTGCACGGCCCCTTTGCTGTCAGGCTTGGGAAGTACAAGGCCCATTACTTCACACAAGGTTAGTGCTGCCTCCTCTTATCTACACAGTCGACTTTGTGAAGTCCCATATGGTTTTGCTGTCCAAACCTCAAAGAGAAGAAACTGGGCTATGCCTGGGGGTCTCTTTTGCAGGTTCCTTTCACAGCGATACGACCCCAGACCAGGCCTGCCACGGGCTGACCCCGCTGACCCCTCACTTGCCCCCGCTGCTCTTTGACTTGGAGTCAGACCCAGCTGAGAACTATGATCTGCTGCAGAGTGGCGCAGGGCCGGAGGTTCTGCAAGTCCTGAAGGAGATCAAACTGCGGAAAGTGCTTTTGGAGCAGCAAATGGGGTTTGGAGAAAGCCAGATCAGGAAGGGCAGGGATCCCGCCCTGCAGCCCTGCTGCGTACCAAACTGCACTCCTAAGCCTTCCTGCTGCTACTGCTCCTAGCTTCTTGCTGCTCCATCCCCTTCAGTTGTTCCACACTGGAACGCTATCCAGGACCCACCAAACACCCCCTCTGTCCCCAACTAACCAAGCTCAGCCTTAGAGCTACCCTGCAGCTTTGGCTCAGTGACACCTCTGTCTAATAGAGTGCTGGGGTAGCCAACTGTGGGTTGGGGAGATTACCAACCCTGCTAGGAGCGCAGGTCAGTGGATCCTATGCTCTGCGTTGGATGTCCAAGCTAAGGCCTCTTGACAGAAACCCTGACTTGTTCAGGGTGGGATCATGGTACATCGTCATCTCCAGAGCCAGAACAACTCCTTTCAAACCACAATCAAGGTGAAGCAAAGGGCATGCCCCAGTGTTCAGAGCTCCCAGCTCAGCTGGAGACATGCTCTGCACCTCTGAGTAAGAACAGAGCTGGAAGCTGCAGCACCATCACTCGCCAGGGGCCAAGAACACAGCAAGAGGAGGATGGCATGGATGGTCCTGGCAGCTTCAGAGGCAGGACCTTGTGCAGCTAGTGCAGAATGGACATGCCTAGGTGGAAAGCAGCTTGGGGTATGTGTGCTTAAGTACCTCCAAGTCCTTCATGACTCCAGGAGGTGGAGATGTGGCCAGTGGTTGTCAGGATTGGTCCTCTTGTAAGGTCTGTGGATCTTGGGGCTGATCAATCAGGTGGGCGGCAACCACATGCCATCCACATGACTGAAAGGGTCTGTCTCCTCTTGCTTGTGAGCTAGTCCAGCTCCAAGTTTCCCAGTGACTTGCACATGCACACAGCGCTCCCACCAGTCGCTGGCCCTAGACACTGGGTGTTTCCAACTGGGGGGTCCCCCGACCTGTGTTCCCTCCTGCCATTGCTAGCAGCCAGGCCTCTGGGCCCACCCCACCCCGGGGACAGAGCGGAGCCGCACAGAGAAAGGTTTGGAATCACTCTCAACAAGAAGGTAGGACGGGTTGTGGTGGTTACGTGCAAGGCTCAGCCAAACAAGCAATCCAACTAGCAGCTTAGGGGTGACTGGCTCCTTGATCCCCCTTTCTCTCCATTTTCCATGCTTTTATATCCCACTCACCTGCCTTGAGTGCTCCCTTTCTCCACCCTTGTGTCCTCCCAAATGAGGGACCTACCTGTGATTGTTTTTTCCCCCTTGCTCCCAGGTTAGCTAGGCTTGTGAACAGATTTGGTGTCCCAGGTGACATTAGTTAGATCACCTTGGACTTCTGTGGCATTACTGATGTGGTTTCCTGGCTACTGCTGTCCCTGCCAGACTCCTCTCCCCAAAATGACCCCAACCATTCCTTCATGTATCTGTGAAGTGTGGCCACCTCTCACATAATTCTCCTTTAACCACGTCCAAAATCTGGTGCTGGAATAGCAGAGTATCCACAGAAGACAAGTCTTCTCTAAGGCCTTCTTCTGCCTGCTCTAAGCAGATATGGGGCACCACCTTCAGGTCAATTTTCAAAAAACAAATCAGCCTTGAGTTCAGTTTGAGGCCCAGTCCTGCTGCCTGTAGGGCCTTGATAGCAGCTATTCCATTTTCAGACAGAGCCTGGCCTGCCATCCTAAGGACCAGGTTGTGCACTCAGTTGTGTGCCTTACATATATCCACACAAGCCAGGACGGCAGCAGGAAGCTCCTGCACTTTTCACAAGCGTTGAGGCTGCCAGTTCTTCAAGCTACCACCTCCAGGAACCTAGCCCCACTCAGCAAAGGCAGCGCACGTGGCTGGCTCCTGCTTTTCTCCCATGACTGCCCTGTGCTCCATCAGGTGAGCAAGGCTCCACCATCTGCTGTGGAAGGGAGCCTGATGAGATTAGGCTGATACAGGATTTACCAAAGTCACGGAGAATGGCATGTGGAGAGTGGAGCTGAATGGAGAGTGAGGATGAAAGCAGGAGCATCCTTCTTTTCTAGAGCTTGAAATTGCAAGACCTTGGCCACGCATACCGGGTGCCACAACTGCCCTTGTCTACCTTGTCCCAGAGCAGCAACAGAACTCATAGACAGCAAGGACATGAAGCCTGTCAGTGGATGTTGCTATGGCTGACATAGCCAGTGTGGACTGTCCTGCATCTGCGTTTCACTGTGCTGTGTGCACGAAGGTTGACGTTGCTTGGGTCTGCTTGGCTTATTTGCCTTGCACATCACTGCTTGCCTGCAGCGGCTGTAACCAGATTGGCTCTACAACACCCAAACTTGTGCATACTGCCTGCGGTAGTTGTGTTCTCTGGTGTCTGTTTTTGGGAAGGACCTGGTGGCAAAAGGCTGCAGAGAGCGGGGTGGCAGTGAATGAACTTCCCAAAGAGGCTGTGATGCCACACTTGTTTTTTTCCTGCTAGCCATGAGCAGGCAGTGCTTGGAGCCAGGCGCTGCTGCCTGCCACGGGGCCTACACACCCTCATCCCGCAGGCAGAGCAGTGGGTGGGGGTCTGCCGGGGGCGTCCGATCCCGGCTTCTGCCTCCCCTCCTGCTTCGAACCTGCCCCGTCCCCCCCGTCCCCGTCCCCGTCCCCCCCCAAGGGGCCACCGTGCCTAGCACCCGGAACCAGTGACTCTGTGACATCAGCCCTGTTGCTGAGGGCACCGCGGGCAACGTGAGTGCTGCGGGCACTGTGTCGGCTGCTGCGCCACTGGCAACGAGCCCTCGGTTCCTACAGCCCGCACGTGCTGCTGGTAGCGATGCGCTTGCTCCCCCTCCTCGTCCTGCTGGCCGTGTGCTGGCCTGCGCGTGGCACATGGGACAACTGTGGGTAAGTGGCCCGAGGCTCTGGGAGGGAGCTGGGGCAACCCTTGTGGGCTTCACTGGAGGGTGCCTGCTTGTCCCCCGTGGCCACACCACAGCTTCCCGAACCCCACGTGGAAGCCTCGGTTCCTTGCAGCACTCAGGCTGCTGGCCCAGCTCGTCTACGGGGCTAAGGCAGGAACGGGCCAACGTCCGCACGCCGCACGGGCTTCCCTGGCCCTGCTGTCCGTGCAACACCTGTGGGGAGGGAGGATGGCTGAGCTTCAGCCTGAACAGCAGCGAGTCATCGAACAGGACGGTAACGAGTTTCTGGTTACAGAGGGACCTGCGGGCTCCGGCCCATGGCTTCTTACTACGGCATGTCGCGTGTCGTGGGTGGCACAAGCTCCCACCCAGGGGCCTGGCCCTGGATCGTCAGCATCCAGAATCCCTGGCTAGCAGGTGTGGGGCATATATGCGGAGGGTCCCTCATCAGCCCACAGTGGGTTCTCACAGCAGCCCACTGCTTCGTCGAGGCCAGGTAAGGAGGACCAGGGAACGGGGATATCCCCACAGCACTCACAGGTGCCCTGTCCGCAGCACCACCTGCTACTCCCATCCCGTTTCCAGCACTGCAGAGCCCGGCTGAGAGACTGTTCAGGAGGAGGCTGCGCTGCTGCCACTGCTTCCTCGCAGCCTCCGGCTCGACATGCCTCGAGCTGAAGGCATGCTAGGGCAGTCGCACCTTCTGTAGCGCTGCTTTTCTCTCTCCCCTGTGAAGCAGAACGCAGGGAACTGCTGGGCTGCTGCAGCACATGTCTCTGCTCCCTTTAAGCCCTCTCTCCATCTGCCTTCCAGGGACATCAGGACGTGGCGTGTGGTGGTCGGGACCACCTACTTGACTCAGCTGGGCCCTGAGTCCCAAGTGCGCGGTATTAGGCGGCTGGTGGCTCACCAACGCTATAGTAGTATCTCGCAGAGGAACGACATTGCGTTGCTGGAATTGGACCAGCCTGTACAGTGTGGCTACTATGTACAGCTTGCCTGTGTGCCCAACGCCTGGCTGAAAGTGTCAGAGCTGACAGACTGCTACGTCAGTGGCTGGGGTTCCACACATGCAAAATGTAAGTTCCTGCAGAATCCTTGTGTCCCAAGTGCAAGCTCGGCACACCGGGGAGGCGGGCTGGGCTTCCTCACAGCAGAGGCAAAAGCCAGAGTCGGCATGTAGGGACGTATGCCTGTAGAGAGATGGGCCTGGCCCACTACCCAAAGCCAGACAGAAGGGAAACACCGGTACAGTGCCTCTCACGACACAAAGCCGAGCCCTAGGGAAGGGGTTCACCCAGGCAGGGAAGGAGAACTGGCAACAACCTCCTGAGTGTTACCTCCTTTCTGTGCTCACAGCTGGAGGATCAACTGCTGTCCTGCAGGAAGCCAGGGTCCCCCTCATCGATGTCAACCTCTGTAACAGCAGCCAGTGGTACAGAGGAGCCGTCCACACCCACAACCTGTGTGCTGGCTACCCGCAGGGCGGCATTGACACCTGCCAGGTAGGCTCACCTCCCCTTCCCTCTCTGCAGGTTCTCGCCCAGTGCCCCATCTGTCTCAGAGGCCGGGGACTCTGCCCAGAAAGCCCATCCGGTGCTGCTGGCAGCCCGTAGGCCCAGATCCCAATCCTGGAACATCCCCCTTCCACACATCCAGCATCACAGTGCAGAGAGGAGAGAGAGCACACCCTGCCTTACAGGCCTGTGGCTTCTTCCTAGAAAAGTTTCTGTAGGCTCCAGCAGCTGCAGAGCCTTTCTGTGCAGTGAATACAGCGCTGGCAGGTGCTGTGGGAGAGAAGCAGCCAGCCCTAGTGCTGACAGTGGCCACCTAACACCCCCTTCATCCTCTCTCCTCCGCTGCAGGGTGACAGCGGTGGTCCTCTCGTCTGCAAAGATAAAAATGCTGACTACTTCTGGCTTGTTGGAGTGACCAGCTGGGGGAAAGGCTGTGCGAGAGCGAAACGGCCTGGAATCTACACCTCCACTCAGCACTTCTACGACTGGATCCTGACACAGATGGGATTTCGCTCAGCAGCAAGGGCTTCTCCAACATCAGGGGCATGGAGTCATTTTCTCACTGCCTCAACCCCTTATCAGAGGCCAACACCAACACAATCGGGCAAGTTTAGCTCCTGCCCCTTTCCCCTTGGGAAGCTGGTGGAATTCTTTTCTCGGGCGCAGGAGCTCCTGCTGTTCCTAAAGGAAAAAAAGGCTTGAGCAACAGGATGAAGAGGATCCAGTGCAGGCTTGCAGCGTACCACGACCATTTCTTTCTGGGGCACTGCCTGCTGAGCCAAAGGCAGCCTCAGTGTCAAAGGCCTGCTCCGTCCTGCCCACGCTCCTCCGAGCACACACCAGTGCTGAAGTTGACACAGTTCTTGAAATAAACTCACCAGTTTTCACAGCTAACCATACTTCAGGCCAATTCAGTCTCCAGTGCAAGGCAGGGACTTCCATGCCTGGCACCTGCACAATGCGGCTGCGGGCAGACAAGTGGGGCACAAAGGGAAAGAGCCACAAAAGGGGCCAAAACTCTGCCTGGTCAGAGAGGATGATGCTTAGAGTCACCATGGGATGGAGGAGACTGGCATATCATGGCTAGAAAGAAAAGAGGAAAAATTGACGTGACATGCAGAAACTTTCGGGTATGCATTAAGGCACACAAGCTGATGATCTGGGCCTGGCATAAACCATAGCTAACTGAACATATCACGGGATAATTCTGAGCATAACAAGAGAAATTACCGACATAAGATTCGGCTGCCATGGTATGGGGGAACTGGAATGAGGCATTGGTTGTCTGGAACAAAAGGGATGTGGTGTGGCATTGCCAGGTGAGACCCCGGTGACCTGAAGTAAGGCAAGAGGTGGGTGCTGCTCTGGAGAGGACCCAGTGCAGTCCTTGTTCCTGTGATTCAGCAATGCCCTTCCTCGTGGGCAGAAACTTCACAGGGTTCAGTCCAGGAGCGTGCAGCAGCCCAAATATACCCCGGTTCCCTTTGTGTGAGTGGCATTGGTCTGGTGCCCTGCTTAAGAGTCTCACACACCTTGGCTTCTTTACCTGCCCCGTGTCTCCTGCCTTATGAGGCTGAAAAGGATGGCGGTGTCACTAGCTGGCACCATGTCTCACTTGTCATGGCCCCATTGGCAGCATCAGGGAAGGGGTAGTGTGAGCCTGTGAAACCGAGGGTAGGTGGTTCTCTCTTGCAGCCCATCCACCTTGCGGATGGCACGTGGAGGCAGTTCTGGCCTTCTGAAGTGTGGGAAGGGCACAACATACGAAGGTGGCATGCGGGAACCAGCAGTGGCTTATTGGCCAGGCCATATCACTCCAGGTAAGACTTGGCACTGCTTGTGCCTTTTGCATGCTGATGCCAGCCAAGGCAGGGTGTCATGGCAGCTTGGCTGCCCAGGAACAAGCAGAGGACTGGAGAGAGGTGAGGACGGCGGGATTGAAGTGGGATCAGGTGCTTGAACCTTTTCTTGTGCCTTGCTGTGGTGGGTGACAGGAGTGACACATGAACTGGCAAGCACCCTGGACATCCTGCCAACACTGGCTACCCTGGCTGGAGCAGCTCTTCCCAAAGTTGCCCTGGATGGCTATGACCTGAGTCCAGTGCTGTTTGGGTCAGGGAAGGTGAGTCCTGCGGGCTGGTTCAGCTGGCATTGTGCATGAAAGCTGGGTGTGGGGCTGAAGCTGTGTGCCTGATGAGTACAACCAGCTGGGGGTCAGGGGAGATCCATGAGCTGGGACCTTTTGTCTGGCCTGGGTCATGCCATGGAATTCCTCGGCTTCCCCAGGCTGCTCTGCTCTGACAACTGCAACATATTGCTGGGCCAAACCCCCATGGGCGCAGTGGATGGACAGCCCCAGTAGCTTGGAGTAGGGAACAAACAGGATGCTGCTGCTCGTCAGCTTCCCCCCTCTCTGGCCATGTTCTTGCTGTAGTATCAGGGCTCCTGTGTGACTCCCTGGAGTCTCTGCCTGGTCATGTTCCAGACTTTTCTTCAGCCTCATGGCTGCACAGGTGAGCTTAGTTCTGCTACTTCCCGCAGAGTCCTCGGCAGACAATGTTCTTCTACCCGCCATCCCCTGATCCGCTGCACGGCCCCTTTGCTGTCAGGCTTGGGAAGTACAAGGCCCATTACTTCACACAAGGTTAGTGCTGCCTCCTCTTATCTACACAGTCGACTTTGTGAAGTCCCATATGGTTTTGCTGTCCAAACCTCAAAGAGAAGAAACTGGGCTATGCCTGGGGGTCTCTTTTGCAGGTTCCTTTCACAGCGATACGACCCCAGACCAGGCCTGCCACGGGCTGACCCCGCTGACCCCTCACTTGCCCCCGCTGCTCTTTGACTTGGAGTCAGACCCAGCTGAGAACTATGATCTGCTGCAGAGTGGCGCAGGGCCGGAGGTTCTGCAAGTCCTGAAGGAGATCAAACTGCGGAAAGTGCTTTTGGAGCAGCAAATGGGGTTTGGAGAAAGCCAGATCAGGAAGGGCAGGGATCCCGCCCTGCAGCCCTGCTGCGTACCAAACTGCACTCCTAAGCCTTCCTGCTGCTACTGCTCCTAGCTTCTTGCTGCTCCATCCCCTTCAGTTGTTCCACACTGGAACGCTATCCAGGACCCACCAAACACCCCCTCTGTCCCCAACTAACCAAGCTCAGCCTTAGAGCTACCCTGCAGCTTTGGCTCAGTGACACCTCTGTCTAATAGAGTGCTGGGGTAGCCAACTGTGGGTTGGGGAGATTACCAACCCTGCTAGGAGCGCAGGTCAGTGGATCCTATGCTCTGCGTTGGATGTCCAAGCTAAGGCCTCTTGACAGAAACCCTGACTTGTTCAGGGTGGGATCATGGTACATCGTCATCTCCAGAGCCAGAACAACTCCTTTCAAACCACAATCAAGGTGAAGCAAAGGGCATGCCCCAGTGTTCAGAGCTCCCAGCTCAGCTGGAGACATGCTCTGCACCTCTGAGTAAGAACAGAGCTGGAAGCTGCAGCACCATCACTCGCCAGGGGCCAAGAACACAGCAAGAGGAGGATGGCATGGATGGTCCTGGCAGCTTCAGAGGCAGGACCTTGTGCAGCTAGTGCAGAATGGACATGCCTAGGTGGAAAGCAGCTTGGGGTATGTGTGCTTAAGTACCTCCAAGTCCTTCATGACTCCAGGAGGTGGAGATGTGGCCAGTGGTTGTCAGGATTGGTCCTCTTGTAAGGTCTGTGGATCTTGGGGCTGATCAATCAGGTGGGCGGCAACCACATGCCATCCACATGACTGAAAGGGTCTGTCTCCTCTTGCTTGTGAGCTAGTCCAGCTCCAAGTTTCCCAGTGACTTGCACATGCACACAGCGCTCCCACCAGTCGCTGGCCCTAGACACTGGGTGTTTCCAACTGGGGGGTCCCCCGACCTGTGTTCCCTCCTGCCATTGCTAGCAGCCAGGCCTCTGGGCCCACCCCACCCCGGGGACAGAGCGGAGCCGCACAGAGAAAGGTTTGGAATCACTCTCAACAAGAAGGTAGGACGGGTTGTGGTGGTTACGTGCAAGGCTCAGCCAAACAAGCAATCCAACTAGCAGCTTAGGGGTGACTGGCTCCTTGATCCCCCTTTCTCTCCATTTTCCATGCTTTTATATCCCACTCACCTGCCTTGAGTGCTCCCTTTCTCCACCCTTGTGTCCTCCCAAATGAGGGACCTACCTGTGATTGTTTTTTCCCCCTTGCTCCCAGGTTAGCTAGGCTTGTGAACAGATTTGGTGTCCCAGGTGACATTAGTTAGATCACCTTGGACTTCTGTGGCATTACTGATGTGGTTTCCTGGCTACTGCTGTCCCTGCCAGACTCCTCTCCCCAAAATGACCCCAACCATTCCTTCATGTATCTGTGAAGTGTGGCCACCTCTCACATAATTCTCCTTTAACCACGTCCAAAATCTGGTGCTGGAATAGCAGAGTATCCACAGAAGACAAGTCTTCTCTAAGGCCTTCTTCTGCCTGCTCTAAGCAGATATGGGGCACCACCTTCAGGTCAATTTTCAAAAAACAAATCAGCCTTGAGTTCAGTTTGAGGCCCAGTCCTGCTGCCTGTAGGGCCTTGATAGCAGCTATTCCATTTTCAGACAGAGCCTGGCCTGCCATCCTAAGGACCAGGTTGTGCACTCAGTTGTGTGCCTTACATATATCCACACAAGCCAGGACGGCAGCAGGAAGCTCCTGCACTTTTCACAAGCGTTGAGGCTGCCGTTCTTCAAGCTACCACCTCCAGGAACCTAGCCCCACTCAGCAAAGGCAGCGCACGTGGCTGGCTCCTGCTTTTCTCCCATGACTGCCCTGTGCTCCATCAGGTGAGCAAGGCTCCACCATCTGCTGTGGAAGGGAGCCTGATGAGATTAGGCTGATACAGGATTTACCAAAGTCACGGAGAATGGCATGTGGAGAGTGGAGCTGAATGGAGAGTGAGGATGAAAGCAGGAGCATCCTTCTTTTCTAGAGCTTGAAATTGCAAGACCTTGGCCACGCATACCGGGTGCCACAACTGCCCTTGTCTACCTTGTCCCAGAGCAGCAACAGAACTCATAGACAGCAAGGACATGAAGCCTGTCAGTGGATGTTGCTATGGCTGACATAGCCAGTGTGGACTGTCCTGCATCTGCGTTTCACTGTGCTGTGTGCACGAAGGTTGACGTTGCTTGGGTCTGCTTGGCTTATTTGCCTTGCACATCACTGCTTGCCTGCAGCGGCTGTAACCAGATTGGCTCTACAACACCCAAACTTGTGCATACTGCCTGCGGTAGTTGTGTTCTCTGGTGTCTGTTTTTGGGAAGGACCTGGTGGCAAAAGGCTGCAGAGAGCGGGGTGGCAGTGAATGAACTTCCCAAAGAGGCTGTGATGCCACACTTGTTTTTTTCCTGCTAGCCATGAGCAGGCAGTGCTTGGAGCCAGGCGCTGCTGCCTGCCACGGGGCCTACACACCCTCATCCCGCAGGCAGAGCAGTGGGTGGGGGTCTGCCGGGGGCGTCCGATCCCGGCTTCTGCCTCCCCTCCTGCTTCGAACCTGCCCCGTCCCCCCCGTCCCCGTCCCCGTCCCCCCCCAAGGGGCCACCGTGCCTAGCACCCGGAACCAGTGACTCTGTGACATCAGCCCTGTTGCTGAGGGCACCGCGGGCAACGTGAGTGCTGCGGGCACTGTGTCGGCTGCTGCGCCACTGGCAACGAGCCCTCGGTTCCTACAGCCCGCACGTGCTGCTGGTAGCGATGCGCTTGCTCCCCCTCCTCGTCCTGCTGGCCGTGTGCTGGCCTGCGCGTGGCACATGGGACAACTGTGGGTAAGTGGCCCGAGGCTCTGGGAGGGAGCTGGGGCAACCCTTGTGGGCTTCACTGGAGGGTGCCTGCTTGTCCCCCGTGGCCACA